GGAGGCTCCTCCCGGAACCCCCTCCCCAGAACCCCACCCGCCCCTCTCATTGGTCCCTTAGATTCACTCCCTGTGCTCATCTAAGGAGGCCTCCCTGCTCCTGCTCTGCCTACCTCAGCCCTGCTGGGGTCACTGCCCCCTCTGACTTTCACTTCTTGGGGTAGACTGAGCCAGCCTCAAAGAGTCCATCACAGGACACGGAGGGTCGTTGCCCGGCTGCAGAGCTCTGGCTGTGGTGGTCACTCAGCCTCCGCTCCTTCCTCGCCTCGTGAGACTTTGGGGTCATGTCCTTGGATGTTTCTTCTGCTCACCTGATTTTTGTCCTGCTCCCTCTGAGTGGAGCGTCCCCCGTTGTCTTCGTCCGCACTGCGCCTTCCTCGGGGATCTTAGGAGGTCACAGATCTGGCTGTCACTGTTCTCAACCTACTCCATGAGGACACTTGGTCATCTCCCCAGCATAATCCCATCCCCAGCTTTCCTGCGTGTGGCAGGCGCTTGAGCTCAGGCCCAGGAGACTCCACAGGCCCCTTCCCCACCCCTCCCCCACTCACCGCAGCCTAAGCCATCGTTAACAGCCCATCTTGCCATGCAACCACCGTCACTTTTTTTTTTTTTTTAACCACTGTCACTTTTTGTCCACAACAACGTCACAGCCTCCTAACTGGTTCCTCCCCACCTGCCCCCCACCTCCCATCTTCCGTTCTGTACCTTCTGCCAAGGGGGATTCCTCTTTCTTCGGTCGCTTCCCCTTTCAGAAACCTTCGCTCCCCGAACCGCAGCCACGCCGCCAGTGGAAAGACAGTGAGAGCCACATGTGCAGCCTTACACTTTCTAACAGCACACTAAATAAGCAAAAAGTGGGTGAAATTAAGATTTTGTTTTCTCTATGTACCGAGGTATTATCTCAACATATATGTAACATGAAACGATGAATGGGATTGTTGCTGTAGTTTTTCACGTCTTCAGAATCCAGTGTGCATCTTACACACAGCACATCTCACTTCAGGCACAAATCAAGTGCTCAGAGCTGTGGGATTGGTGGCCCAGGGCTTCAGGGTCACGGCCCAGAGCTCCTTAGCCTGAGACTTGGCTGTCCTGAGCCCCAGCTCGCCATCCCCGACCTCATTCCCTGTCGTCCCTGCCCCCGCTTGGGTGCTCCAGCCAAGCAGGTGCTGTGTGTCCCTGCAGCCGCCCGGACGGCTCTGTCCTGGGCCACTCCCTGCACAGTCATTTCCCTGCACCCCCTTCCCTCCGAGGCCACGCTTCCGCTGAGGCGGTTTTGTCCCCGTGTGTCCGGATCACAGACCCACCGATACTGGAGAAGTCAAGCTTAACAGGGGTGTCCCGTTACTTAACATGGGGCATCGAGATTCTCCACCTTTTTTACGAGATATTTTCAGCAACAGAAATACACCTTTACGGTATAGATACCGGGCTTATGTTTACTGAATACATTGTCCGTGTGTTTGTTTCTTAATTAGAAAGATGGGAGTGAAATGCTTTCTTTCCTCTTCTTTTCTTTGTTAAATCCAAACCGGATGAAAACCAGAGCTGTTTAAATTCGGTGACTGTCAGCCAGCTGGCCCTAGAATGGTGCCTCCTGCCCTGGCCTGGGGTCTGAGGCGGGCTCGTCCTGCTCCTGGGAACCAGTGTGAGTGGCCCCGGCCTTGGTTGACGTCTGTCAGGCCGTGGCGCAGGGTGGCAGCCCCGCCTCGCCCCGTCCGCCCCGCCTGCTCTGGCTCCCTTCTTTCTCTGGGATGCCCAGGGCTGGGTTTGCTCCCGCCTCAGCGCCTCGTGGCTGTGGTTCCCTCCGTGAGGTGCTCTTCCGCACGTGCCCTTGGCCTACCCGCTGCGGCCGTCCGCCCGCCCAGCTAGCCTGTGCCGCCCAACGAGGCGTCTCGCTAGGCTCTCCCGTCTGAGATCGAAGGCGCTCCGGCCTCCTCCCTGTCAGCACTGTGCCTTCTCCCCCTGGTCTGGTTTTCTCCGCAGATTTGTCACCCTCGGATCTTACAGATTTCACCGTCTTCTCCTCCCACTTGGACGCAAATGCCTGTCTGTCCTAATCAGTGCTGCATCAGCGCCCGGCACCGATGCCTTTGAGAAGGGACGCGGGAGGGCGAGCCGTGCGCGCGCGGGGCTGCAGGCGGGCGCCCTGGCCTTTCCCAGCCTCCGTTTCCTGGTGGCGACGCGCTGATCAGATCTCCCTTCCTAGGGGGAAGCGGGCGCTCTTACACTGATGCGAGTACGTGTTCTGCCCCCGTGGGGGGCGGTCTGGCGGTATCTGTCAAGATTAAAACGGAGCTGCCTTCCGCCCCAGCTGCGTGGCTGGGAATTCGTCCCGCGGCGTAGTCGTACACCGAGAACTGCCGCGTGCCCCGGCAATGGCACATTTCAAGACAAATGGCGTGTTTCCCTCGGTGCGAGTGGATGCTGTGCCGCGTTAGACAGGAACAGGGAAGCTGTTCTGATGCGGGACGGAGAGAGCGAGCAGCCGGGCGCCGGCGCGTCGTCTGTAGCGTGAAGCCTGGAGGGCGGACCGATTCGTCCCCGTGTTTGCCGTGTCCGGGGGCGAGACACTGGTGAGCGAGACAGGAGGCTTCGTGCTGGTGACTGGGGACAGGCGAACTGGAATGGAGAAGAGGGATGCGAGTGAGCTCTGCACACTTCTGCGTGAGTGAGAACAGATTCCTGCCCAGGACAGAAGCTGGCCTCGCGGGGTCCTTCCGCCGTCGAAGAGCACATGCGCAGAGCCGCTGGCCCGGGGCGGGATGCGGACCAGGCCTCCGATGGGAGGTCACCCCTGCTGTCCCCGTGTGCTGCGTGCCCCAGCCCCGTGGGAACCCCGGGGAGCGCCCCTTGAGGCGGAAGCTTTGGGTACGCTGGGGCGCATGACCTGCCCGGGAGAGCCCCTCCGCGTCTGAGCCGGGTCCCTGCGCCTGGCCTGCTGGCGTCTGTCGCTGCCTGCCCTGCGGTCCCGGGTTCCCAGGTGCCTGGCTCGGGGCTCAGGAGGGGAGGCTTGGGTGTTTGGCCATAAGTTCCATGCATGATTCCACTTACGGTTGTCTCCATGCGCCTGTTTAATAGGGAATGAAGTGTCTACGTGTGTTTTGTCCCAGTGACGTTTGTTATAACGACAGTGTTGTCATTCTTTGTCTTCACGCCTCCCAGTTTTGGAACAATACCCTGTTTACTTGACAGGATTACAGTTTCGGAGTCTAATGGAACTATTTTTGTTGTATCTCTTTCAGCCAAAAGTAAAACTTTCTCTTAAGCATTGCGCTGGAAGTTTCGATGTCCCTCCTTAAAAATTTCCACACAGGATAGCGTGGCCGTGGTGTTCTCTTGGCAAGACCGCAATCTGTCTGGTTGCGGACCCATGTGAGGGGCAGGAACCGAGAGCCATGGTGTTGGCTGCCAGCTCGAGGTAGCTCTGGGGCCGCTTGACCAGGCCGCCCCTGACACGGGACAGCCACGGTGGCCCGAGGCCAACTGGGTAGCCTGGGCCCGGCGGGGACAGCACAGTCTGACGGATGGGGGCAGCCCCCACAGGAGGAGAGCCCCGTTCTGACCTCTTAAGGATGAAGCAGTGAAGGCCTCGGAAACCCTGCCGGAGTGGGTGCTGGGCTTTTAGGTTGTTGGCATTGGCGTAGGTAGGAGGGCAAGGAGGCAGGGGATGAGAACATTGGCTGTGTCCCCAAGGCCAGCTCGTGTGTCTCTGTTAACCTCAGAGGCCAGCGGTGCCCCCATGGGGCAGTTGGGTGTGTCACCTGAAGCCCGGTCCCTGTGTACCATAGGGGGCCGGCGTCCCTTCTCATCCCGGCCAGGGGCCCTGCGTGTCACACGGGGTGTCCCTTCTTCTCCCTGCTGGGGGCCTGCTATTCTGTACCTTGGTCAGTCCGTCTTTGAAAAAAAACGAGTGATTTCCAGTTCTTTGCTTTTCTGAGAAGATGTAGCACGTTCAGCACAGCTGTGCAAAGCCAGGGGGCTTGGGGGTAGTGCCGGCAGGGAGGCTTACGTGGGTGCCCCAAGGCTCAGGCCCGGGGTCCCAGCCAGGGAGGGGAAGTGGTCGTGTTTAACTGACCCTGAGGCACCCGGTTCCCCGGCAGCTGGCGGTGGAGAGGGTTGGGCAGGATGCGTTTCCAAAAACTCGCGAGTCTTGGGAACTTCTGGTTGGCTTCCGGTGATGTGCTTTGGGACCCGGCAGCCTGGAGCGGGGCACCCCGGGGGGAGCCGCTGTGCCAGCGAGCCCCACAGCAAGGTGTGCGAGTGGGGACGCACGCGTGTTGTGCCTTCGGGTGCTTTTTACTTTGGCCTTTTGCTGTTTTGGTTTTAAAGACGAGACTCCGGTGCCTGTGGCGTGGCAGTGAATAGGCCCAGACTCTCAAGCCGACCGTCTTTTTATTTTGTTGAACACCACGAAGAAGCTTCGGAGGAACTGCTTTTCAGGATGCACGCAGGACAGCAAGTCTGAGCTGGGACGTTTGAGGGAAGCCAGCAGGTGCGCTCCTGCCAGGGGCTGCGCGTTGACACCCACCCCCCACCCCCACAGCAGCCGGCGCAGAGGGGCAGGTGTAGACGGCATGGGACTTTGGGCTGATGATATGCAGAGAGGCCTCGGAGGGAGGGCGCTGGTGTAGGTGCCAGGAAGCACAGACTCAGACGCTCCAGGCGTGAGAGATGGAGGTGGCCCGGGGGCCGGCCTCTCATCGGTGTGGCCCAGCGCCTGGTACAGTGTCTGACACGTGGTAGGCTCTCAGCAGTGAGTGTTGAATGACTGACTCCCTCAGCGAAAGCCGGTGGCCTCACACCCAAGTGCAGTTCTAGAAAGTAGTTCTACAAGGGGCCCCAGTGCTCTTCGCTGGCTTGGCTGACCGCGGGATAGTGTGCAGTGCCTGGATGGACCCTGCCCTTCTCACCGAGAAGCAGACGAGTTTCTTGCTGGAAAAGTAGACCTTTAAAGCTTCTCCATTGTGATAACTTGTTCTCCTTTGTCTTCACAGAGACTAATAGACAAGTCACGCGTAACCTGTGTCAAATGGGTTCCCGGTTCGGAAAGCCTTTTCCTAGTAGCCCACGCGAGTGGGAGCATGTACTTGTATAACGTGGAGCACACTTGTGGCACCACAGCCCCCCACTACCAGCTTCTGAAGCAGGGCGAGAGCTTCGCCGTGCACACTTGCAAGAGCAAATCCACGAGGAACCCTCTCCTTAAGTGGACCGTGGGCGAGGGGGCCCTCAACGAGTTTGCTTTCTCCCCAGATGGCAAGTTCTTGGCCTGCGTGAGCCAGGACGGGTTTCTGCGGGTGTTCAACTTTGACTCGGTGGAGTTGCACGGCACAATGCGGAGCTACTTCGGAGGCCTGCTGTGCGTGTGCTGGAGCCCGGACGGCAAGTACATCGTGACGGGCGGCGAGGACGACCTGGTGACCGTCTGGGCCTTCGGAGACTGCCGGGTGATCGCCCGAGGCCACGGGCACAAATCCTGGGTCAGTGTTGTGGCGTTCGACCCCTACACCACGAGCGTGGAAGAGAGCGACCCCATGGAGTTCAGCGGCAGTGACGAGGACTTCCAGGACCTCCTTCACTTCGGCCGCGACCGGGCCAACAGTACACAGTCCCGGCTGTCCAAACGGAACTCTGCCGAGAGCCGCCCCGTCAGCGTGACGTACCGGTTCGGCTCGGTGGGCCAGGACACGCAGCTCTGCCTCTGGGACCTCACGGAAGACATCCTTTTCCCTCACCAGCCCCTCTCGAGAGCAAGGACACACACCAATGTCATGAACGCCACGAGCCCTCCTGCCGGCAGCACGGGGAACAGCGTCCCGACGCCCGGCAGCTCCGCGCCCCCGCCCCTGCCCCGCTCCAACAGCCTCCCGCACTCCACCGTCTCCAGCGCGGGCAGCAAGAGCAGCGTGGCCGACGGCGCCGTCGCTTCTGGGGTCAGCAAATTCGCGACGCTCTCCCTGCACGACCGGAAGGACAGGCACCACGAGAAAGACCACAAGCGAAACCACAGCATGGGACACATTTCCAGCAAGAGCAGCGACAAACTGAACCTGGTTACTAAGACCAAAACGGACCCAGCTAAAACCCTGGGGACGCCCCTGTGTCCTCGGATGGAAGACGTCCCCTTGTTAGAGCCGCTCATCTGTAAAAAGATAGCGCATGAAAGACTGACTGTGTTAATTTTTCTTGAAGACTGTCTAGTCACTGCTTGTCAGGAGGGATTTATTTGCACATGGGGAAGGCCTGGTAAAGTGGTAAGTTTTAATCCTTAATGCTGCACCAGATCTAGAACTCGAATAGGTAGAGATTTTTTCCTTGCGGGCGGGTGGGGTGTACAATGAATGTGAATGGCACTTCTTACTCTTAATGTAAATCTAAATGCATCAGAGCCATAATTTTGGATACTGCATGCCGTGTAATTCTGAATCATTTGATAATTCAACTTAGAACGTTTAAAAAAAATATAATCAAACTAATTGCCAGCCAAGTCAGTCACCCTCCTGGGAGTATATAGAGTCCCAAGGTTAGCGCTCCTGTATTAGAATATTTCGATTTTAGGAAAATCATGACAGTGTGGGGAAACAATGACTTTAAAATGCTAAAATTAAAACTTCTGCTTTAACTGGAATATTTTTGCTTAACTACTCAATTAGAATGTTGTACACCTGATCAGAGTGTGTGTTCAGTATGGACGGCCATTAATTGTCATTTCTAGTCCAGTTTTTATCTTAATCATAAAATGTTTAGGAATCTATGAAATTTAACTTTAGGAACAAAGCATTCAGCAGGGTTGATTGATATTATTTTTACATTGTTCTGGCAATCCACAGAAAGAGAAGAGCCTTAATTTTTAAAACCCATTTTAGTCATTTTATGACAATTAAAATTGTTTAATAAACATCTTTTTTCAAAGAAGCAGTTTGTAGCACTTTGATTGAGGTTTGGTGCACTGACTAAAATCCCCTCGTCCCCGGAGCCTGGCCAGCTCCCGGGAGCCACAGGCTGAGGACGGGCGCCAGCAGCAGGCGTCGGGGGGGGGGGGGGGGGCTCTTGCCACGTGAGCCAAGACCTTTTCCATTGGACGCGCTTTGCTTATGTTTTTTTCCAACAAGGGAAAGGAGGTTTTGGTTCCTTCTACAATTTTCTGTGGGTTTTTTGTTGTTGCTGATGTTGTTTTTGGTCAAAAAGGCCCAACTGTAGGCCCGGCAAGACTCTTTGGTCTTATTTTATAAAGACTGACAGACACCGCCCCCCACCCCAGGTTCCGAGTGCTTCCCGAGGGGACCCCGCCCAGGGGGGAGGCACAGGGCGCCAGTTGCCCCCTCACATTACTGGGTGGCTGTCGTGATCCCGCCCGCTCGGGCTCCATCCTCACCGGCTTCCGGCTGGACTGCCTCCCCCCGGCACTGGTGCGCGGCCGCCCGAGCCCCCTCCGGCTGGACGCCGAGCCACGTCCACGGGGTCCAGCGGCTGCGCTGGGAGTTTCAGAGTCCAGTTTCACGGGGAAGGAGCTGGTTCTTTGACCTACGAATTTTATGTCAAGATGGTGATTATCTTATTAGTTAACTTGCTTTGGTTGTTCTGGTTTGCTTTCTGTTCTGCACACCTTTGTTGTTAGACGCAGAGACGCTGATCATTCACACCCGTTCACACCCGTTCACACCCGTTTGAGTAGTGGATGCGATTCAGCAAAGAGGACACGTGCTCTGGCCTTGGAGCCGGAGCCCCACAGCCCCCTGGGAGGCCGGACCCCGCTTCCCCGGGCCCGCTTCCCGCCCCGCAACCCTCAGCTCGCTTTCCACCTGCCCGTTCCACGCGAGGGCCTTCTGTTCCGACCGCGGTGCTCCGAAGCGCGCCGGCCTTCCAGGTGCACCCCGGCCCCCCGTTTATGCATGACGTCGTGGGTGTATGTTCATGTTCTGTTTACTCTTAAGTTGTTGTGGCCCTTCGTTCCTGAATGTTAACCGGCAGCAAAGACAGCCGTGCCTGTGGACTGTTCAACTTTGGAGGCTAACCTGGGACGTCGGATGGAGAGAATCAGAACCAGGCACCCCAGGTGCAATTTTATGTACCGACTTAGGTTTAGAAATTTAAGTTCAGGGGCGCCTGGGTGGCTCAGTGGGTTAAGCCTCTGCCTTCGGCTCAGGTCATGATCCCAGGTTCCTGGGATCGAGCCCCACATCGGGCTCTCTGCTCAGCAGCAAGCCTGCTTCCTCCTCTCTCTCTGCCTGCCTCTCTGCCTACTTGTGATGTCTGTGTCGAATAAATAAATAAAATATTTTAAAAAAAAAAAAAAAGGAAAGAAATTTAAGTTCAAATGCTTCTGAGGCCTTGAGTATGCAGTTTCAGAGTTCAGGACTGAGTGGCCCAGGCAGAGTGGCCCGTCCCAGGTAAGTAGCGTTTACGGGGAAGCTTCTCAGGACCGTTGGGCTCTGAGCACCCTGGGGCTGGGGGCTTTCTGGCCGCTTTCACCCTCTGGCGCCCTCTGCTGCGCGCTGCCACACGGGCGCTCGGGGGCACTGGTGGCCTCATCGAGGGGGAGTCAGTGGGGGCGGGAGAGGCAAGAGGAGGTTATTGTTCCCTCCCAAGCGAGCTCTGAAATGTGCTGACGGAAGCCCGTGGTGTCACCACCCCCGCCGTGGTCATGTCACAGTTTGGGGTTTGGGGTTTGGGGCTTGGTCAGCGTTGTTCTTCCACTTCCTGCTGGTGATCGTATCCCGAACGTCGGTCCGTCCTGCTCTGGGGCCCGTTGCTGGGGGTGAGGTGCTGCAGAGGGCCACGTGGCCCTTCTGACACCCGCCCCCTTTCTTCGCCAGCCACTGAGCCGCTGAGCCACTGTCCTACTGTCAGGAGGACAGAACGCAAGGTGTCCTCCGAGACCAAACCGAGAGCGGCTCGGAGCTGCCCGAAGCTTGAGGAGAAGAGGGCACTGGAGAGGCAGGCGGGGCCCCCCCGGGACTGGCTTCCGACGGGGGCCTGTGCTGCCCCCCCTGGGGGGTGGGGGGTCCTGGTCTCAGGTACAGAAGGCCCAGGGCTGGGTGGCTTCCATGGTGGCCTTGAGCACATCTGGGGAGCGCTTTTCTAGTTTTCTAGTTTCCTCACCGAACCTTGAGCTTCATGGAAACTGTTTAGTGTTCTCGCTTCAACATTATCTGAGCAAGAACAGCTTTACTCGCCTCACCCCTGGGATGAGTTAGCTGCTGGCGAGAGAGGCTGCTCCTCGGCCGCCACAGCTGTCTGCCGTGCGCCCTCGACCCCTGCTCCCTCCTGGCCTGCGTGCGGGGACCCCAGCCCTGCTCTGAGATTCTTCTCTTCCTTGGGGGCCGGGGGACTAAAGTCCCTGAGAGGGCCGGACAAGGAAGCCTTTGGAAAACTCTGCTGCCTTCTTCTAATTCTTCTTTTTTTTTTTTTTTTTGGTAAGATTTTATTTATTTATTAGGCGGAGATCACAAGCAGGCAGAGAGAAGGGGAAGCAGGCTCCCCACCGAGCAGAGAGCCTGATGCGGGGCTCGATCCCAGGACCCTGGGATCACGACCTGAGCCGAAGGCAGGGGCTTAACCCACTAAGCCACCCAGATGCCCCAACCCTGCCTTCCTTTAAGAGCAAATGTGTAAGAGGGAGTAGTAGGCTCTTGGAAAATAATCGGTACCTTTGGGTTCTAAGTTCACTTAAATAGTGGTAAAGAATCTTAATTTTGTCTTTTGTGCTGATTGAACCCTCTAGAGCATTTTGGAAGTGTTCTGTGAGCCATTGCCTTGGGACTGAGGATAAATACCTAGGATAGGACAGGGGAGGAGAGGGAAACAGAAGTAAGCTATTACCAGCATTACTGCCCTAGCCGCTCCGAAGCCACTAGCAAGAGAACGTCAGGAAACTGTACCGTCTTTATGGACACGCGCATACGTCCCAGTGGGACTCAGGTGTTCTGCTCCACTGTTGGCCTAACACCCAAGTCCTGGCTGGCAAGTTGCCCCAGTTCCTCCACTTGTCCCGCTTCCTGTGGTGCATCTTGAATTTCGAAGGCCCCGTCACGTGTTGAGTTGGTGCGAAATTGGTGAATCTGCTTTGTCAGAGTCTGGACCTGCGTACGGGGCTCCCTCACCTCCGGCCTTGGCGGGGAGGTGCTTGGATTTTTGTTGGGGAAGGTCCAAGTGTGAGGGGAAAGGCTGCAGGGCCAGGGAGGGCTGGAGAAGGAATCCTCTGGGAAACCCCGATGCGTTTGTGTGCCTGACTGTGCGAGGAAGACCTAGAAGCAGAGTCCCCCTGGCTTTTCCCAGAGACACACACAGCACAGCGTCCCTTCTGCACCCAAGGGCTCGGCAGAGGCCAACCAGCCAATGGCCCCGATTGACTTCTGGTGCTGCTGGGTGTGTCCACTGTTGGGCTTTCCTTCCACAGCGGGGACCCCTGCACGTGGGCTCTGGGCCTGATGAGTGACCGGGCGTGTCAGCCATCCCAGGAACACCACAGGGACCAGGCACTGAAGGCCGTCCTCGTCCGGCATGCCTGTCATGGTGGGCTGCTGGGGACTGTCGTCTGTTCGGGTCGTCAAGGGGCTCAGCTCGGTGACCCCAGGGATGGCCCATGAGTGCGGACAGCAGGCCGGAGAGCGGATCCCGGGGCTCGTATTGAAAAGCACTTGTGTTCAGAGCCCAAGTTCAAAGCTGTGTGAGAATGCCCCCCGCCCCCTGCAGTGGAGGGCAGAGTCCCCCCCCCCCCCCCCCCCCGCGGTATTAACTCTGATTCGTTGCTGCTCCTGTTATGTGACTTGGTGTCCTCACACCGCTGCCACTCAGTTTGAGTATAAAAGGAAGAATTTCCTGCATTTTTTATTTCTGTACGCCTGAGTTTATTAAAGACTGCTATGTTAGGTGGCCTTGTGTAAAATTGTATGATGATTTACCCTTAATGAAAGTCAAAGGTAAAATAATGTATTTCCTTTGTTACATTTTCATCTAATTTCTTGATGAATAAATTTGATAAAGAGCCTTCCTAACATGAAATGTTGATAAATTAAGTTACAATATTAGTTACAATGTTACAATATGTTACAGTAATTACTGAAGCTTTAATATCAGTACTGTTAATTATCATTTTAAAGAAAATCATGTTTCTGTTTCACTGTCTTGGTTTTTGGCTCTTCTCTTGTCACTGTCACAGCTTGAGACTCACGCGCGTGTGTCTGAGCAGGAGGGCTGCAGCCCCGTGTGTGCGGACGTGCACTAAACGAGCGGGGGAAGTGTGCAAGTGCACGGTTTGCAGCTGGCCATTTCCCAGCTGGGCTTCGCCACAGTCTCCATGAGCCAAAAAAGAAAACTTCTAAATGTTGTAAAATTACAGGCTTTGTTAGCATTTATAGAGCGAGTAGCCATGAATTTCTACCTCCCGTTGCCAGCTCGGAGTTCCTTGTAATGAGACGCGCAGTTTGTGGGATCAGAGGCACTGACTGTTGCGTGTGGCCCTCGTCTCCTTGACTCCTGGCCGGGCAGGGGCAGCTGGTAGCCCCGTGGCTGAGCCTGGCGGAGGCCCTTTGAACTGTAGGGCCGACACTTGGAAGGCGCCCTGGCTGCCAGCTGGCCCCGGGACCCTGCACACCCAGCGGCCACCCAGCCGGCAGGCTTCCGTGGGAGCTCTTTCCCTGGGCAGGCGGGCCGGGGCAAGAGGGTCCTTGCCCTCCTCCTGGTCTTGAATGGCGTGCGGGGCGAGCTGGCGGCTTGGTCAGTGCGGGGACGTCCAGTGGTCTGGTCCCCTGCAGAAAGGGCCGGTGAGGGAAGGCCCATTGAGGGTGCCAAGAGTTGGCCACTCACACTGTCCTGCTCTGAAGGGTCCCTTCCCTCTCCGCAGTGCCCTGACGTCTGCCACCCTGAATGCCGCAAGGCCAGGAGCCCAGCC